TCCACCCTTAGGATTGTTCAGCATGTCAACAATCATTTCAACAGTAACATTTGTTACCCCAATATCTCTTTTGCCGTCTCCACAATAACCTTCAACCTGGCATTTCTGCTTTCCACAACCCGAGTCGTATTGATAACCTTACCAATAAAAGCTATGAAGTCAACTTTATCATTATCAAAGTGTCCTTTGACACCGAACATTCATGAGCACAAGATTTCTGAACAGGCCTCAAAACCATGCCAGGACCATCGGAAGCACCAGCCCCGACCGTAGGTCCACTTACTACAGGTACATCCATGTAAGCTCCAACAGTCTGCACTGTAGTTCTACCAATCTGTTTTACGGCCTCTGCATATGATAGATCATGACTGATCCTATATCTCTGAGCCTCTGTATCTGGCATCCACCAAATGCTGCACTGTGTTCTACCCCCACAATTACAGCACTTAACCTTCACATTGCTTCCACATTCACCGTAATCATGTGCCCCTCAACATTTGGCACATCTTTTCTTTCCTTTACACTGAGCAGCTACATGTCCCATTCTTTGGCATTTAAAACACTGCAGTGCATAGGGGACAAATTCTCTAACATTGAAACTAAGGAATCCTATCTGTACTTTTCCCGACAAGACTCTCAAACGTCAGCATCACTGATAAGCTTTCACTTCTTTGACCTTCTTTCCTACTGATCAACCTTTTGGCCTCGATCACTCTGCCTCCCTTCACATTTTCTTTAATTTCATCTGTGGACATAGATATTGGGACCCCAGTGATGACTGCCCTCAATCTAGCATAAGTACCTGGGACATGGCTTTTAATCTTTTCCCGTTAAGCTTTTCCATTTTCAGAATCATCTCTTGCTGAGACTGGCTACCACACAATATTAACAATCTATCATATCCAATGAACCGAGCTAATTTCACTTCACCTAGCTATTTCTCTATGGCATTAGTTAGTCGGATAGGGTGTAAGTGAGGCCCTGTGGTCTCATCAAACACTATCACCACTTTCCCCTCCAACACATCATTACGCTTGCTTTCTACCTTGGCCCCCTTTATGCTTTCTTTACTAGACGCTCCATTGCTTTCTGGACCATGATCTCTCTTCTTCCTGGTCTTTCCACTACCCAACCATTCCGGTCCTTGACCCTCATCCTCCCGCTCCATACCATCAGAACTGACACCCATACTGTTCGCACTCCAGCACAGCTGTTGCTTCACCAACTTTTTATCGATTTCCTCCGCACTACTCCCCACCATTTCCGACCAGTTCGTTCCTGTTGCTACCTCCCCCTCTCATTGGTCGAGAGGACCAGTTTACAGTCACTTCTGAATGCTCTGAAGTTTCTCAACAAAAATATAAAAACACTAACGCACAGCTTCAAATTCAAAACATTAGTATCAACACAAACGGTGCCCCCCTCTGTGCGACAATGATACGTCATCAGAAGTGTCCACTTAATTTGAGGGCTGAGGGGAGAGGGTGTTGTCTTTTACTTGTTTGGAATGCAGCCAATGAAACTGAAACAGTGTATCCCGAATAGAGGCAGCAAACAATGTACCAGGCCAGCTGTGATTTACAACTTGATAGCAATATTATTTGGACTACCAAGAAATGTTTTGGTGAATTATATTAAATCATGCATTGAACTGCATCCATCTATTCTGCCAACAATGCCTTAGTGTACGTCATGGAACGTTGAGTCAAATATAACCTATTTTTAAAACCTCTTATGAAGTTGGTTTTGTAGCATAAACTGGGAATTTGATATTTTGGACTGATATTATGATTATCTGTTTGTGTGAGATCTGCAAAGTAGTTAAAAACACAGTCAGTTCCACTTTAAATATATACAGTGCCTTCAGAAAGTATTCACACCCCTTGACTTATTCCACATGTTGTTGTGCTACAGCCTGAATTCAAAATGGATTAAATAGATACCCCATAATGAGAAAGTGAAAACATGTTGATGAATTTTTTCAAATTTATTTAAAATGAAATACCAAAATATTCACACCCGAGTCAATACTTTGTAGAAGGACCTTTGGCAGTGATTACAGCTTTGTGTCATCTTGGGTATGTCTGTATTAGCGTCGCACATCTGGATTTGGGGATTTTCTCCCATTCTTCCTTGCAGATTTTCTCAAGCTCTGTTAAGTTAGATGGGGAGCGGCAGTGAACAGCAATCTTCAAGTCTTTCTGGCTAGCACCTTTTGCAAACTCCAGGCGTGTGGTCATGTGCGTTGTTCTCGGGAGTGGCTTCTCTCTGGCCTCTCTCCCAAAAAGGCCAGATTGGTGAAGTGCTGTAGAGACTGTTGTCCTTATGGCAAGCTCTCCCATCTCAGCCAAAGAACTCTGTTGTTCTGTCAGAGTGGTCATTGGCTTCTTGGTCATCTCCCTGACCAAGGTCCTTCTTGCCCAGTTGCTCAGTTTGGTCGGACGGCCAGCTCTAGGCAGAGTCTGGGTAGTTCCATATTTTTTCCATTTCCCAATGATGGAGACCACTGTGCTCTTGGAAACTTTCAACACTCTATACATTGTTTTATACCCTTCCCCAGATATATGCCTCATCACAATTAAATATTGGAGATCTACAGACAATTCCTTGGACTTCATGGTATAGTCTCTCATTTGACATGCACTGTTAACCGTGGGACCTTATTTAGAAAGGTGTGTTTATTTCTAAATCATGTCCAAATAATTTAATTGGCCACAGGTGGACTCCAATCAAGTTGTAGTGACCTCTTAAGGATGATCAAATGCCTCAATTCGTCTGGGCATGGACTCTACAAGGTGTCGAAAGCATTTTACTGGGATGCTGCCCCATGTTGACTCCAATGCTTCCCACAATTGTGTCAAGTTGGCTGGATGTCCTTTGGTTGGTGGACCGTTCTTGATACACACGGAAAACTGTTGAGCGTGAAAAACCCAGCAGCATTGCAGTTCTTGACACACTCAACCCGGTGCGCCTGGCACCTACTACCATACCCTGTTCAAAGGCACTTAAATATTTTCTTGCCCATTCACCCTCTGAATGGCACACATACACAATCCATGTCTCTTATTCTTCTTGATTTGGTACGCGGATCGCATCAAACATTTGTTCATACACCACCACATACTGTACTGGTGTGCGAGGCCATTCACGGCCTACCTACATTAAATTCTTTGATACAGTAATACAACATTGGGAAAAAGGAAAATTGCCCTGCCAACAATTAGCCCTCTCTAAAAAAAAACACCATCACATTCCACTATTTAACCCTATCCAGTCCTACTCCAGACCAACGTTTTGAGTGGACATAACACTACTACTCAATACCCCCTGTAGCTGTTCTGCAGTAAATCCTCGCAATCCCAAGTACTTCTCTGCCGCTGCCACCACAACCTATTTTCTGTGACTTTCGATCCATTTCTGCTGTACAATTGATAACCATGGCTATAAATGCTAAAAAGACAACCTTACTGAAGCACATTTTCTTCCAACCACTCTCTCGGTCTCTGCCTACTCACAGGAATCCTCTCAAGATCCCTCACCCTGAACACATCTTCCTCTACCACTCTCTTCACTGCTTCAGCCTACAACACTTTCTGTACTACTCTGACCCTGGCAACCTCAATCTGCCTTTCTCTCACCGGACACCTCCGATCTACAGCCCTATGGTCGCCTCCACAACTAACAAAAATAACTTTCTTCACCGACACCACACATTCCTTCGTCTCATGCCCTCCTGCACACTTCTCACATCTAGGCATCTCCCTCCTACACACAACATGCCAATAAAACTTCACACCTAAAACACCGTAGTATTTTCAAGAACAAAAGCTGACACGGGATAACTGACACTTCCTACCTACCTTAACCTTATCTGGCAAAGAGTCTGCATCAAAACTCAGCATGACAGACAATGTCTTCTCCGTTTCCCCATGCTCTCCACCAGATCTACGTCTCACCAAATTCTTGTCCCTAATCCGGAGAGCCCGCTCCCTCTGGGGGGAGGAAACACAAATCATCATGAGTCCACTCAGTTACCTTCACCAACTCAGCAGTCCCCAACCTCTTCTCCACCCAACCTGATAGCACATATGGATCAGCCAAAATCATTCTTATCATCCTCGGGACGAGGCCCGAACTCGGCGGTCCTCACCACAGATACTTCATCCTCACTCTCGGCAGGGTCCATCTCTGAACTACTGGACTACACTCAACACCCCTCACAAAAATGTATTTCATTGTGTAGTGTTCTTATGGAGAGGAAATGTGTATGATTCAAAATAATCATTTTCTATTAAATGTCTGTCTTACATGCTTAGTTTCACGCCTTCTATGTCCAGTTTCCTCTTCACTCTCAGATGTTGTACAGTGATTAGATCAACAGTGCCCTCCACTGGAATGGTACCTTCATTACAGAAGGGATTCATTGAACTGAACTCACTTTTGGAGCATGTTACCTGCATTACATTTTTATATATCCCTCTATATAACTGTTAATAGAACATTGTTGTTCAATTGTTGCATTGTTATACCAATAGGCAGGAAAAACATGATATGTTAGAATAATTTTCCAGTAAAATTACACTGACTTTCTGTGGCCAAGAGATGCATTATAATTGCTGTGTGGTGAATAACTTGATGCATTTAGCCATTTCAGGAGAAAAATTACCCCAACAGAAATGAAGATACAAATTACCCTCATCAAAACAATCAGCTTTTTATGAAGAGGTTTTATTTCCTAGACATGATTTTAAAATCAGTTTACACATTTCCTTAAAAAACACATACCTAAAATAATCATATTTCATTCAACAATTAAAAAGCTGAATGATTCAATGGGTGAGGGCAAATACAGGAGGAATGATTACTCAGCAATCACTACCTTGTAACTTTTACTTGGATCTGGGTAAAAATGTGAATGTTGTTAAGTTTCCGTTCCTGTGATTAATTACACATTTTTATTCATTAGTACATACCAAAGCGAAAAATAAGCGCATATTGTTGGACAAGTTCAGGTAGTCCCTCCCAATTTCACTGTGTTTTCTTACATCTGGTGCCTAATGAACACGACCCTGATGTTCCCAACTGACAGAGCTGTGACAGCTTGTTGTTTCCGGTTTCCCCTGGCCCAGTTTTCGGCTCTCTGAAAAGTCTTGCAGCTGTGCCTCCATTTCAATAATGATGTTAGAAAAAGATCAAACAAGACAGTAAGCCATATACACTGCTGTCCATTCTGGGACGATGGTTCTCGAGGGACGTTGTTCAGAAGTCTAAAAACTTCCCAGTTAGTTCTCACATTTCCTGCAACTCTTCATCTTATCCCCTTGTGATTCTGTCATGATTAAAATAAACAACTTGAAGTTATAATTCTGTTACTGATTTGGACTTCTTTTTTACCAAGGTGGCTATTCACAAAAAGGATTTACGAAATTTGAACAGTTCCGCTCAGGTAATCGCCGACATATCCACTTTTATAAAAACACAAACACATTCCACGATGGCTAAGATTTTAAGTTGATGGCTGGGTTGCATTCATTAGGGTACACAGTAGCAAAATGTTTTACAAAGGAAAGCGAAAACGAACGTTTCTAAATGGACAACTTCAGGTAGTACACCCGTTTTAGTCCATTTTCTTCCATTTGGTGCCTATTGAATACCTTGGTCTAAAGTCCCTGAGATGTCAGTCCCTTGGCTCAGTCATCAGGTTCAGTAACACACTGCTCCACAATGTCCCGCAGGTTGGGGTTCTCCATAGCAGCTGCTACTCTCTCCTTGTCGTTGATCTGTTTGTTAACTAGAGGAAAAAGGATAAAACCACAATAAGTTTCCTTCTATTGTCAAACTGCATAAATGTGACCAAATGGGTTTGAACCTGGGTCGTCTGCGCGCCACAAGTCATGTTATTCCCGCTGACCTAAAGCCTGAAGGTCTGTAACATATTACCGATAGGGGTTAATGGTTCACAGAATTACCTGTTTCATAAGAAAAATTCTAGTTGGGCTTTGTGGGTGGAAATACAAATCTATCCAATGTCTGACATTTCTCTTTTATTCAAAATACTGTCTGGAGATGTGGATAAGGTGGTGTAAGTCATAACACTTACTATCTTCCTCGGTAGAATGAGTTCCTTCAGAAATGTAAATGTCCAACTGTTGAACAAGAACAGAAAAAGTTAAACTTTAAAATAACAACAAATAAGCAATTAATTTGCATGAAGTTGGGAAAACTAAATCTGTGTGTTCCAACAGACAGGTCTAATCAGGGAGAAGGGCTGGAGGTTAGTGCACCAGAGATACGACCAGAGCCAGAAACCAACCACACAATGCATTTTCATAGGAGCACCTTTGTTCCAGAGGTACCTCATTATAAACCAAGACAGCACAAAGGGGAGAAGATATTACAACACTGTTTTCCATTTCATTATTGGCTTCAGAGACTACCCTCGAAAACAAGACAAAAAGCGCTATGCCATCAAAGGCTTGGAAAACAGGATTTTTAATCCTTGGATGAAAGAACGTGTTCTTACTAAACAGACTAACATTTTGTGCATCAACATTGATTTAGGGATTGGTTGTATGATAACACTTTTCCTCTGATGGGCGTAATCCCCCAGCTGCTTACCTTGTGTTTAAACGGCAAGCATCTTTGCAGTTTAACTTGTAAGCACAGGCCTGAAACACACGTTACAGATTAATTTAAATTGATCTCTGAAGTAGGCAATTTCTGTGTTTCCCCTAGATTTTTTTTAGCAGTGGTGGCAGAGTTAGGGGGGGGGTGTCTTCCTGGGGCATACATCTATACATGTACATTATACTAAATTATATTTTCTTGCAGCTGCTGCTGCTGCTGAACGCATATGGGGGAAACAGATTTTTGAAAATGCATCGATAGAACATCAGAGCTACACAACACTCACAGGAAAATAATTGGCCCTATGGGAAGAAGGCCATGTTACAAAGAGAGTGAAAAGTGTGGGTTTTTCATGACTGCCATTTAACATTAGTCCCCTTCAGAGAATGGCTTGGAACATACACTGAGTATACAAAACATTAGGAACACCTTCCCAATATTCAGTTTCACCCCCTTTTGCCCTCAGAACAGCCTCAATTCGTCAGGGCATGGACCCTACAAGGTGTCGAAAGTGGTCCATAGGGAAGCTGGCCCATGTTGACTCCAATGCTTCCCACAGTTGTGTCACGTTCGCTGGATGTCCTTTGGGTGGTGGACCATTCTTGATACACATGGGAAACTGTTGAGTGTGAAAAACCCAGCAGCGCTGCAGTTCTTGACACACAAATCAGTGCGCCTGGCACCTACTACCATACCCTGTTCAAAGGCACTTACATCTTTTGTGGTGCCAATTCACCCTCTGAATGGCACACATATACAATCCATGTGTCAATTGTTTCAAGGCTTCAAAATCCTTATTTTACCCATCTCCTCCCCTTCATCTACACTGATTGAAGTGGATTTAACAAGTGACATCAATAAGGGATCATAGCTTTCACCTAGATTCACCTGGTCAGTCTATGTCATGGAATGAGCAGGTGTTCCTAATGTTTTGTACACAGTGTATGTAGACAAAGTAGCTCTAAGTAGATCAATGCTACATTAAGTCAGACCACCTAAGTCAAGTTATTTGACAACCTTGTGGAAGTAGAAACTGAGATTTGTGGAAGTATAAAATGCAAAGTCTGTTGCATTTCACAGAGGCATTCTAGTCTCAGTGCACTAATCTGCTGGTGTATGGTTGGAGAGGTGACTGCTCATGCTCCACAAAGCTTATCCTTCAATGGCCACCGATGCCACTATAGCTTCAAATACAACATTTCCCATTGAAAACATGGCATGCAGCTTTATCATGGCATTTCAAAATGTCCCTATTTCTTAAAAGTATAGGAAAAGGGGCCGCATTGACTCTTACATTCTCTGCCCATGCTGCCAGCTTTGAGGTAGACAAGACTGTAGTAGAGATGGTTGTAGCTCTATAAGAATGGTAGCCCGAGTGTCAGTCTGTCTTATGCGATCATGCCAACTCCTGGTCACTCATTGTCATGTTTGCCTTGACAGCGACAGCAATGGAGATGTCAAGAGCACAAACAGATATCTGGGACCAGGCTATGAGAATGTGACTGTAGTGTTGTCCCGTAAAACATTGTATCAGTATGGATGCAAGAGGCTAAATATCTCTTGCTGTTCATGTCAGTTATGAACTGTTGTTTCTTATCAGTTGACACAGAGACGCACCGATTAGTGTAGCCAGAGAACAGTGTGGGACAGTTGGGGAGAACTTTATAATTATGAGGTATTCGTCCTCTCCAAGCTCTTGGACTTCAACACATTCTTCCGTCACGACATCCAATTCCTCCAACGTGTTAGGTTTCTCTGGGTCTCGAATAGTGCGAATGACATCTGGGGAAAGAAACTGGGGTTGTTGAGGTGAACAAGCATGTCACTTAGAAATGTTAACTGTTTCAGATGGTTATACTGACAACTAGCTAGCTATCAGTTGAATTCACAGTTGTCTGAATGTTTCATTATCATAGAGAAAATAAGAAATTGTAAAACAATTTCCCAGATCTTTTTGTGCGGTCTTGTCAACTCCGTTGGCCACTTATGCGTAACAACAACCAGAGTTGTCAGCACACAAACTGTTCTGGGACCAGGCTAGAGAAATAGTGCTATATCTAACTAACGCGTTAGCTAGCAAGTTTGAAAGCCATAATTTACTAGCACGCAGCCTAGAAATCCTAGTTATAACGTTAGCTAATTAGTTCTCTAGCTAGCTGTATCAAGATGCAAATAAACCAATTTACCGTATACTTCTAATGCTTTCTCTTCCATCTTTTTGGCCCTTGGTGCATTCGTGTTGTCTGGCAATCCGGTGAACTGCAATAACTTGGTGACTCACTGTAACTAAGTGAGACAAGGCTAGACACTACTTCAATTTTTCAAATAGCGCAATACTCGAGACACTTTGACATCAGTGTTTTCACGATCGTCTAAACTGGACAGTATGTTCACAGTTTAATAAAACATACTAGCATATGGATTGTCTCATCGACGCGGTTTTTAAAAGTAAACTGAAGCTTTAACATCTGCGTAGGGTGTGACAAACGAAAGGCCATCACTAGTTAACACAGCCACAAAGTCATAAACCCCGCCAATTTCTAAAAATGTGCATTCTTAATCTGATTTTAAACCTAACCTTAACCACAATGCCTAACCCTAACCTTAAATAAACCCAAAAAGCACATTTTTGTTTTCATGAATTTTTACGATATGGCTAAACATATATTTGTGGCTGTGTTATCTAGTGGGAAACAAAACGAAAGCCTGTGCTGGCTGGTTACTTCCTCCTTCAGATTCAGGAAAAAGCAAACGCTGCAAGATCGATTCAAGTTCGGTTTTCTGCTATGCATGCATAATACTTTAGGAATTATTATTTGATGTATTCATGAATTCAATTATATTTTCAATAATTTGCCTTTAAACGACAATTTGTGGTGTAAAATGTCAAGGTTTCAACAGTGATGCTATCCTTGCTTCTACTTCTTCTTCTTCAAAGTTTTATGGCAGACTTTATGAAACAAAAACAAAACATATTCCATTGCGGGAATGCAAAAAAACAAATCAAACAACCATCCAACTCATTCAGTCACAGTTCAAATCCCATCCCTACGCAGGCTCAGGTGCCTGTGAGGAAGGCGCATTCATCGACAGAATTCCTTGTAATGCCTCTGCAGAAAAATCCCTGAGCGCTATCCTTGCTTGATTGTTACCGTCTTTTTTATTTTATTTTTTGTCGTTCTCCTATTGGGCAATAGCAAATCAGCTGATACAGAGAACGCGTGTCATGTGATTTGTGTCAGGATGTAGGTAATAATGTTTACATGAAAGAGGAACACACACGAAGAAGAAAAAGAAGACGATCATTTCCAAATGTTATTTTAATTGTTCTCTCAATTGACGACAAGTCGACAGCTGAGTATATGAAGCTGCAAATAGCTAAATTACAGATGAGATAGTATCAGTTTTAAGGCATCTGCATCAAATTGGACATGATTATGATAAAGATGTTGCACAGATCTGAAACTCGAGGTAACTGTGCATTAGAAGTCGCTCTCATCCCCGAGAACAACCTCTGTGAAAATGTTGTGGACACAGCAAAAGCCAAAATGGCCCAAGGCTGCTCCTTGCTCTGCTGCTTGAGTGGTACTGGGGGGCTGACAGTAGGCGACATTTCAGAGAGCAAGGCACCGGGGAGAACGGTTGATGGCACATTTACAGAGTGAGTAAAGTGAGCTAAACAAAAATGTAAACTGCCATATGCATGTATTTGCACATTGATGATGGGATTGGTTAACACATCTCGTGTGTCTCTCTCTCTGTGTGTGCGGGTGGGTGGGTGGAGGAGGAAGACTTTTCTTATATCTTCAAAAAGTTCACTAATTGAATGAATTCCTCCTTGTCTGTAGCTTTGCCTGGGAGGAGGTGACAGTTTACAATGGAGCCCGTGGCAGCCCTAGACTGCTGGCTGTGAGCTCTGAGTGTGAGCTGACACTGTATGAGCTGGAAGCAGAGGGCCCTACCTCTGGCCCTCTTGTCTCTGCCTCTGAGTTCACAGCAGAGAAGCTACTGCAGCTGGTCAAGGAGAAAGCCCTGAGTATGTGACACCAATGTCTTTATCATTATCAGTTTAATTCAGATTCAAAGTATTGGATAATATTAGTCTTTCAGACCACATTAGGGTACGCAGAATTAGCAGTTTACATTTACATTACATTTACGTCATTTAGCACACTCTTATCCAGAGCGACTTATAAATTGGTGCATTCACTTTATGATAGCCAGTGGGACAACCACTTTACATATTTTTATTTATTTTATTATATATATATATATATATATATATATATATATATATATATGATATATATATTATTATTTTAAAATATATTTTGTAGGGGGGGTGGTGGGTAGAAGGATTACTTTTATACTATCCCAGGTATTCCTGAAAGAGATAGGGTTTCAAGTGTCTCCGGAAGGTGGTCAGTGACTCCGCTGTCCTGGCGTCGTGAGGGAGCTTGTTCCACCATTGGGGTGCCAGAGCATTTGTGCCTGAAGTTATACTCTCATTGTGATTTTCGTAGCTTTGAGTGTTCTTTTACGTAAATTCCAACTTTAATCTAGCCATATGAATTCGTAACCTATACTAAACTGCATTGCTTGCATTTTGATTCTGCAGGTGTGTCTGAGGTGGTGTCCTTGAGGCTGCTGTCCTTTGTGGATGCCAGATGCTTTCTCCTGCTCAACTCCAGTGCTATGGTGCAGCTGCAGTGGCAGCAGGGGGCTGAACCGGAGACCCTGTCCTGCTGCACCATCGTTCTGCCCCCAAAAGCCCCCCTGGACACATGCACTGACTACCAGCTCTGCAGAGGCATACTATTTGTGTTGACCACAGCTGGAGTCATATGTATCCTTAGCAGTTTCATGAGTAGTAGTTAGTCCTGAAACACAGGGCTGTGCAGACTTCTATGGCGTCTAGCCATAACTGCCATAGGAGTCAACAGCCATCTCTCAGGACAAAGTAGTAGTATCTTACTCTGTTCAAGATTGTCATTCAGTATACTGCTCTATCTTTAACGCAGTGCTCCAGATGTGTTTGACAGTGCTGAGGGGAGGAAGCTGGCCAGTGTAGACCTGCCCTCGTACCACACTGCTGGGCTGGGGGAAGACGAGGTGGCGCCCTGCCTGGACGCCTTCCGTCTCCTCCAGGTGTCTCCTGACCTGGGTACTGCTGTTGCCTGCACTCAGTCCAACACTGCCTTCGCTGTCGACCTCAACCACTACTTCAGGTAATTCAGCAGTAAACAGGGAAGAACTACCACTGAAACTCACCAAGATGGTTTACTTGTGATTCAATCTGTCCAGTCCACCTGGATGTCTCACAATTTGTCTTTCCTTGATTCCTTGCTTTCTCTTTCTTCGCCTCTTTCCCAAAAGCATTCAAGGAGAACATCCTTGGTTCCTCCCTTGGCACCTTTTCCTTCAATGCGTTTTTAGAAGGAGGCGAGGAGAGAGGAAGCAAGCCATCGAAGAAAGACAAATTGAGAAGGATTTTGGATGAGCCCCTTCTTCCTCTGACTGACAGATGTTGTTGTGGCTTTTTCCTGTCCTCCTGGTAGGATGTACCCAGAGCATCTGCTGTGTCGGGTGGTCCCCAGTCGCCCTCCCCTCAGGCCCCAGGATCCCTGTGACGAGGACAGCCTCTCCAGCTCCACCTACAGCCACACTGTGCTGGGCACCTCCTTCAGCACTGACCGGTAAGAGGAAGAGCATAGAATAGAACAGAATGGAATACTCTGTTGTCAGTCTTGTACATTATATTTTAGTTAAAGTGGAGTGTATTGCATACCATATTGTTTGTTTTTATCTTTAATCCCCTGAAAGGTAAATGGGGTTAATCATTATTTGTCTTCCTCCCTCCCCCTTCCCCTTATCTCCAGGTCCTGGGAAGCTCGGCTGACTTCTCTGTACAACAAGGCCAAGGCTACCCCTCCTTCTTCTCCTCAGACTACGGGGGCTCCCTGGTTTAAGGATTTCCCCCACATCGAGTGTGGGCGGGCAGCTGTCGCTGCCAAGCTCTCCCAGAGCAGAGTCCCATCAGGGGGAGCCACCATGCAGTTCTCTGTCCCCGACACCGCTGCCCCAGTGCTGCTCTCTGTCTCTGAATTCTCCGCTGTGTTGACCTTTGTCTCCCCTGGCAACAGCGAGACAGCTGTGGCCTTCTGGGATCTGCAGTCCCAGAGTGTGACCTACCACCGGCTCACCTCGCCCACCGTGCCTGTCCAGCGTACCGCAGAGGAGGAGCTCAGCCTGCTTCTCAAGAGTGAGTCTGCTACTGACACATATGAGAGGTGTTTAGTGGTCCAGTCTCAGTCATGGCTCAAATCTGCTTGAAAATCAGAGACAAGGTTTGAATATTGCTGTCCATCAATGATTCCCAACCAAATGTACTGAGCTAGATCAATTTTGAAAGGAAAAAGGTTACTTTTCAGTCTGTCGATCAGTATAACATACTATGTGCCAGGGTTTGACATTAATGCTTGTCCGCTTGCCCGGGACAAGTAAAAAAATAAATAATTGTCAAACAAGAAGAATATAGACTAAAGTTGTTCGAATGGACAAGTAAAAATTAAAATCACACAAAAATCACAATATCAAACAATTTGGCTACTCCGATCAGAATTGGATCAGTGTCCTCCGGATGCAATGTGTTGCACACTGTCCTCCCAATCTCTGCAGAGCGCATCGGAGTATAATATTATAGGCCTGCATTGACAGGAACGAGCGGTGTTTCAATCATGCAGTCACAAGATTATGTTTTTGAGATCAAAGCGAGCCTAGCCGAGTGTGCACATTTGTCGTTATTTATTGCTAGTTAGTGAGCCCATTTATAGCTCATTTTTGGTCAGCAATTCAAATCCTGGAAAAGTCATGGTGTGTGCATCACCTGCGTGTGCCAGTGGGTCGTTGCCAGAGGAGCGAGAGAGACATTTGCGCAGCAGATAAAATAATGATAGAGAACAGACTAGCAAGGTTACCTGCCAAACTACACTATGTTTTGAATTGGCTGTCTCGCTAGTTAACTATTTAGCTATTAGCATGTATTAATGTCATTGTCATGTCCGATGTCCTAAAATAACTTTCCATAGGCACTCGTGTATAATCGAAAATGACAGACACGCAGTTGATACGGGTGCACAGTTGATGAAACCAATGCTGCATACTCCGTTTGAAAAAACGTCTCTCAAGCGCTCAAAATTGGCTAGGATTCTCCTTTATTCAATACTGGCCATATCATTCTGACAACGTTACAAAAATATTGACAAGTAACTCCTATGCTGTCAAGATCTCCCCTGAACACTGAATATTTTAACCTAACAAATAGATAAACATTTTAGTTGGCTACCTCGTCCACCTTAACCATTTGATCCCTGGTTCATTGAATGAGGGAATTCTTTTAGAAAGACATAAAACGTATTTGGTTGTAATTGTAATGTTGTAGGGAGGCCAACCATCCTCCAGGAGATTCCAGGAGAGCTACTGGGTGTGCAGGCTTTTGCTCCAGCCCTGCTCTAACACACCACATTGTAAAAAATCAGCTGATCAACAGAACCTTGATAAGCTGACTGGTGTGTTTGAACAGGGTTGGATCAAAAGCCTGCACAGCCAGTAGCTCTCCAGATGGAGGGTTGATGGACCACATGTGTTTTATACAGTAGCCTATCAGTGCAGTATTTTACTTTGTGGGGGGTTAAGTGCCTTGCTCAAGGCCACAACGGCAGGAGATACTGTATAATACATGGGATCAGAGACAAGCAGCCGTCCGTTGCCAATACAGGTGATAATAATGAATGTTATTTTGTGAAGTGGTTCCTTGCATAATATAACACCATTTTCTGTCACCTTTTTGGCCCAACTGTTTTGGGTGGGTGGGGACAAGTGACTTGAGCTTTCGGACAAGTAAAAAATCAGTCCTACTTGTCTGAAGGACAAGTGGCTAAAAAGGTTAATGTCAAGCCCTGTATGGGGAGTCAACGACCAATCCTATTCACCTGAAGCAAACTGAAATCACGCCCATTTCCTAAATTCTTTAGCTCACCTGAAGGAAGAACGTGTCACACAATTTACAAACTTTTCAAGCACATGAAGGCTATGAGATTTGGCTGTTAGTGGAGAGAGAGTACTCGTCCTCCTAGATGTTGCGAGTTTTGGGTCTTGGTAACGTTTTTTGTGTTTGCTAAAAACCAATTACTTTCTGCTCTGCTTGTGTAGCCAGTGCTTCCTTGCTTGAGTAAGATGGCCAGTGGGTAAGAGTAAGTTCAAAAAGGCTACCCAGCTGAGTTTGAACCTCCAACCATGCCAACCTCCAACCATGATACTCAATTGTGCTTTCCTGTTGCCTTGGGTGGAAACACGCTCAGGAGACCTTGGCTTGGACCAGTTTGTGTGACCACTGTGTCCGGCTGGGTTCAACTTCCATTGGGAGTCGGGCTGACTTTGTGAGGAAGATTGGTGGTCGGAGTTGGTAGGGGTGTCATCTCAGCCGAGTTAGGCTCCTTCCGGTTTCTCTGGCAGTGTTCAGAGTCCGGATTCCAGGATTGATATACTATCCCTGATTGGTTCTGGAGGGTTTTCAGAGTGTTAATTGGATGACATCAGTCCGGGGCAGCCTGAAGCCCCGGCTTTGGATTCGGTGGGGGAGAGTGAACCATTGGTGGTGAATGCGCCTTTGATGGTGTTTTTCGCACTCTGCACGCTGTGGTCGATGTTAGGCAGCGTTTTGTTCGGGTTTCCCTGGTTTGAGCCTTGGGCTGCCTTGATGGGTGGCAGCGTGCAGAGTGCGTTTTATCAGGGTTACCACAATTTTATGTGGGTTTGAGCCTTGGGCTACGGCGGCAGCGAGCGAGTACACAGTTTAAAGGTTACTGCAGGTTTTTTGTGGGAAGCCTGCAGTAACCATTTTGATGGTGGATCTTTGATGTTATGGGGCTATTTTGCTTCCACAGGTCCTGGGGCTATTGTTAAGGTCAACGGCATAATTAACCTTTTCCCAGTACCAGGACATTTTAGCCAAAAACCTGGTTACCTCTGCCAGGAGGCTGAAACTTGGACGTACAGTGCATTCGGAAAGTATTCAGACCCCTTGACTTTTTCCACATTTTGTTACATTAAAGCCTTATTCTAAAATTGCTTAAATCGATTTTTCCCCTCATCAATCTACTCACAATACCCCATAATAACAAAGCAAAAACAGGTTTTTAGAAATGTTTGCAAAAACATTTTTTTTAACTTTTACTGAGGAGTTGCTTCCCTCTGGCCACTGTACCATAAAGGCCTGATTGGTGGAGTGCTGCAGAGAAGGTTGTCCTTCTGGGAGGTTCTCCCATCTCCACAGTGGAACTCTAGAGCTTTGTCAGAGTGACCATCGGGTTCTTGGTCAGCTCCCTGACCAAGGCCCTTCTCCCCAGATTGCTCAGTTTAGCCGGGCGGCCAGCTCTAGGAAGAGTCTTGGTGGTTCCAAACTTCTTCCATTTAAGAATGATGGAGGCCACTGTGTTCTTGGGGACCTTCAATGCTGCAGACATTTTTTGGTACCTTTCCCCAGATCTGTGCCTCGACACAATCCTGTCTCAGAGCTCTACAGACAATTCCTTCGACCTCATGGCTTGATTTTTGCTCTGACATGCACTGTCAACTGTGGGACCGTATATAGACAGGTGTGTGCCTTTCCAAATCATGTCCAATCAATTGAATTAACCACAGGTGGACTCCAATCAAGTTGTAGAAACATCTCAAGGATGATCAATGGAAAAAGGATGCACCTGAGCTCAATTTCGAGTCTCATAGCAAAGGGTCTGAATACTTATGTAAATAAGGTATTTCGCTTTGTCATTATGGGGTATTGTGTGTAGATTGCTGAGATAATTGTTATTTATTTAATCCATTGTAGAATAAGGCTGTAACATAACAACATTTTGAAAAAGTAAAGTCTGCGGACTTGTAACCCATTGAAAACCTGCAGTTTGAATGGAAAAGGGCAGTCCATAAGCGCAGACTAAGGATATCAATGATCTGGAAGGATTCTGTATGGAGGAATGGTCTAAGATCCTTCCCAATGGGTTCTCCAACTCATAAAACCAAGGGAGAAAAAGGCTCAGTGCCATTCTCCTCGCTAGGTGAGGTATTGAACACAGGGGTGTCAGTAATTTTTTTGAAAAATAAATATGACTTGTTAAACAAAATCTCTTTCTCTGAGCAATTGTATTACCGGTAGAATAAAATAATATAATTTCCCCATTTTTGTTTTGTGCATAAAATATAGCTCAGTATTTGAGATATTTATTTTATACAGTCATCTTTGCTCATCTTTTTCAAGGGGGTCAATCATTTCAGACCCCACTGTATGTTGCCCTTAGAGTTGTGCAAAGTTTGTAGAATCTTATTGTAAATGATTCAAAGCTGTAATGGCTGCCAAAAGTATTATCTCTGGGATAAATGTAAATGTAAATGTAAATGTATGAAGACATATGCAATCATTATTATTAATTTTATTAAAATTATTTGTTGTCTTTATTATTAATTTGGAAAATGTTCTAGCATATTCTTTCACTTTGAAAATGTGGATTAGGTTATTTAGATCGGTAAGAAAAAAATCCAATGCAATCCCTTATACTTAATATTTAATTTTTACGGAAGAAAACTGTGCAAGTGGTGAGTAGACTTTCACTAGGTGCTGTATGTTTTAATTATTCCTGTGTGTATGGCTATTGAGTGTAGCTCCTGTGTGTTGCAGCGTCAGGCCTGTCCCTGGTGCTGTTTGCTGTGTCACAGGAGGAGCTGCTCAACAGACTAATGGTATTTGGCAGCGCCGGCACCGTGGACTCTCTGTGCCACCTTAATGAATGGGGCCGCTGCTCCATCCCCATTCACGCCCTGCAGGTAGGCCTGGGGCTCGTTCAGTTGGTCAAATGGTTTGCTTCATTTCACAACAGTACGTACTGAACGACACATGCCTTTGTTTTGTATTTGTAGGCTGGTCTGAAGAATCACCAGTTGGACACAGTGGACTTCTTCCTGAAGAGCAAAAATAACGTCCTGACACCACCCTCGGGGTATATTCTACCTGACCAATCAGCTGTCATCTCAACCCAGAGCCAGCTGAAGAGTAAGGCCTTTACAATACATTTCATATTAATCACATAAAGCCCTAGAATCCTAATAGAAATACTTAGTATTATTGTAATAGTATGCCATAGTAATTAATGCTAAGTATACATTTTACATGCATGTTGATGCTACACTATTTTATTTATTTGTGCAGGGACACCACCTCCTGTTATTTTAAGGGATTATCAGTAGCCCAAGCTTCTTTAAGATTTCATTAAATGATTTATGAATTTAAATGTGCAATTTCTTAATAATTATTCACTCAATAATCAATACCTACCATTGAAATATTGCATGGCGCAAATAGTGTACAGTTCAAGTGACATCTTTCGTCCGTTTGTCATGTTTATGTAATGTAGTATTGTGTTGCAAGATCAATACACTTCACTGATTTTATAAATCAGGCTGAAAAATAAGGGGTGCATTGATAGTTAAATTGAAAGCTACAATGTAATGGTAAGCACTGTGAGGACACTCTAGGTTGTAAATGCAAGTAATCGGAAAATCCTATACCATGCATGACAATAAAATGCTTGGGGAACACAGACACACGAACAGAAACACGCACAGCACACACACGGTGAGAGTTACGACGGTAATGATTCATATTGTGCACTGACGCATGGGAGCTATTAGGCCAACGGTCTGTCGTATCAGCCTCGCCTCCTGAGTCCTGATTGGATCGTTGGATAGTAGGTAAAGCATTGGATGCCCTTGAGATCAGATAGTGTGCCTGTCATTAATCTAGCCCACTGGGAGTGGCTGACAAACAGGATGGAACAAAGATTGGTATTTGGTATTTTATTAAGATCCCCATTAGCTGTTGCGAAAGCAGCAGCTACTCTTCCTGGGGTCCACACAACATAAAACATGACATAATACAACAAATTATAAACAAGAGCAGCTCAAAGACAGAACTACATAAATAAAATATATATATATTTCACACACACACACAAATGTGTATTTAAATGTGTGTGTGTGTGTGTGAGAGAGAGAAAGGAAGGGGACTGTACCTCATGCGATGTCAGCTAGAATTACCGCTCCCAATAGTAATTGCCTTCTCACATGATGTTTTACTGTAGTCTCATCACAGCCTAGTAATTGAAATGGTATATAAAATTGTGTATGTGTGCATGCGCCCCCATGCATTTAATTTGTGTGTGTGTGTGGTTGATGTTTTCTCCTACTGGCTAGAATAAATGTGTTCATATTAATATGTCTGGAGTGTATATGTAACAAACAAAAAAAATGGGTAGGACATTGTAATTACCAGAATGTAATGAATAGAACTGTAGCAAACACAGCCATTACAATGGCTAAATTTCCCCCGTTTCTCCCTCCACTGCCCTACACATATGATATGACCTGGGTACAGATCTAGGATCAGCTTCCCCTCCCCCAATCCTAACCTTAACCATTAGTGGGGAACATGCAAAACTGACTAAAGATCAGCTTCTAGAGGCAACTTCATCCTACTCCAGATATGACAGCGTGAGTGTTTCTCTCTGTTCCTGTAGATGTCCAGGATCTGTGTCCGGCGCTGGACCTTCTGCGTTGTGCCATCAGAGACAACCATACTGAGGTCCAGAGCCGACAATTTTCAGAACAACTGCTCAGCATCACCCTGGCCTTCCTCAACACACAAGTCAGGGCCGTCGTCTCCGCCACAGAGGGTAAGACACTGCATGCTTTTGAATGCACTGCTAGCAGCAAGGTATAATTTTTTTTTTTTAAGTGAACAATCCCTTTTAAGATTTGTTTTTGGGGGGACACTGCATCAACCTGCTTAGTTGCCAACTGTATAGTTACAGAATCCAGTTGCTGTAAGCATGATGCATTAGGAGTGCTGCCTCACTGAGCAGAGTCGTGGTCGAGTGGTTCTAGGCACTGTTCTAGTTCCCTGGAGACTGGGGTTCAATCCCTGTGTCCACCCTTCACACTACTATGCCTGATCCATTTCCCCCTCTGTTTCTCACCTCTCTGAAATGAAATCAATACAATCTGAAATCCACCCACTCCTTTAAAATAAAAAATAAATGCTACTATCTCAAGCAATCAGCCATGGCTGGCACGAAAACATCTGAAGGAGATTGCATCAACCTGCTTAGTTGCCAACTGTATAACTAAAAAATCCAGTTGACATTAGAATTTGGATTGCTGCCACAGTCTTGACATGTTATTGAAATATACTGAATAGAAATATAAGTGCAACGTAACAATTTCAACGATTTTACTGAGTTACAGTTTATATAAGGAAATCAGTGAATTTAAATGAATTCATTAGGCCCTAATCTATGGATTTCACATGATTGGGCAGGGGCGCCGTTTTATTTCAGCTCATGAAACATGGGACCAACACTTTACATGTTGCATTTATATTTTTCTTCAGTATAGAAAAGTCTATAGAAATAGAAACTCCAGCACACTGGTGACCTTGATGCTCCATAAATGTAACAGATCTTATATTTCAGTCTCAATAGACCTTCATCAGGGATTTAGATTGATATTATTAGGAGATCAGAACCAAGTTTGTATGGTCTATGTTCAATCATGATAAGGTCTGATGATGGTGGGTGTTTAACCTCTTAAGGATCGGACCCTTTTTTGAAATTTTCGCCTAAAATGACAGACCCAAATCTAACTGCCTGTAGCTCAGGACCTGAAGCACGGATATGCATCTAATTGATACCATTTGAAAGGAAACACTTTGAAGTTTGTGGAAATGTAAAATTAATGTAGGAGAATATAACACATTAGATCTGGTAAAAGATAATACAAACAAAAAAACAAGGGGTCTCCAATTTAAGTGCCTTGCTTAAGGGCACATCGACAGATTTTTCACCTAGTCGGCTCGGGGATTAGAACCAGCGACCTTTCGGTTACTGGCACTATTCTCTTACCCACTAAGCTACTAGACTATTTTGTATGAAGTCTGCCCAAATGTGCCAATTGATACATTTTCATGTACATAACTATAGAGAACATACAAAAATAATATGGTAATACAAAGGTAAGTTTACACACTCCCAGGAACACACTCACAGGAATGTCATACATGATGGATCATTAGCTTATACACTAACATTCACACATAGATGGCTGGGCGGGGTGGGTGTGGAGCCAGAGACAGCAAGGGTTCAAACTGTAGAACCCAGTTCCTACATTTGAATATCAAAAGGGATTTTATCAAACAAAACTATGCTACATTTTATCTCTGGGTCCCTCAGGATGACAAATCAGAGCAAGATTACTGAATGTAAGTACATTATTTACCTTCAGAGGTGAATGTATCAAACCAGTTGCCATGATATGTTTTTTGTTGTTGTGCACTCTCCTCAAACAGCAGCATGGTATTTTTTCACTGTAATAGCTACAGTAAATTGGACAGTGCAGTTAAATTAACAAGAATTTAAGCTTTCTGCCCATATAAGACATTTGATGTTACTTACAACAGTCATGCTAATCACATTAGCGCACTTTAGCTCAATCGTTCCGTATACGGGACACCGATCCCGTAGAGGTTAAAACGTTCAATAACACAGTGGTTTCTCCCTATTCTCTCATTTCTTTCTACACAGAGCTGGATGAGAACCTGCGGAAGTGTGTGGAGATCTTGGATAGTTACGTCTCGGATCTGCGCACCTTCATGAAGAGGTTTCCCTGGCCAACAGGTGCCGACACTTTCACCCTTATCCCATCCCCCATACCTGTAGCTGAGGAGGTGGAGAACGACGACTGGTGTTCCCTCTCAACTGAGGTAAAAACACAGTGGACTTTATTTAGTCACAATCACACAGACGCACACAAGGAGCAGAGTGGGCATGAATCCTCAACGACATCCTAGATGGGTAATAATGATAATGGCTTGAATTCTTGTCACACTTTTTGCCCATAGGCCTCAAAGCACTTGACATTGTGCTTGGATAACTCTTCTCATCCACCATACGCAACAGCCATTTTGCACCAGAATGATTCTCACCAATTGGCTATAATTACATAATTATCTACAGTAATGACCAGAAATCTGATTTCTGATACTGTGTGTGTGTGTTTGTGTGTGTCAAGGAGGTGGTCAAGCGGGCAGTGCTGACCAAGCAGATTCCCCGGGCCCAGGCCTACCTGAGGAGCCAGAACAGGCCAGATCAGCGGCTGGAGGAGTTGAGGAGTACGGGGCTGCGTCTGGCCTTCACCTGCCTCACACACAGAGACCTGGAGCAGGCCACTGCACTGCTCAGGAACATGGTGAGACTATGGCTCTGTTCGGTTTGCTTTCACTAATCCATCCTGGAAGGATTCTGTATGGAGGAATGGTCTAAGATCCCTCTGAATGTGTTCTACAACTCATCAAACCTTTTAGAAAAAGGCTCAGTGCCGTTTTCCTCACAAGGTGAGGTATTGAAGGGTATTGAAAACTGGAGTGTCAATAATTTTGTCTTCTACCTTTTTGAGAGAAAAAAATATTACTTGTTGAACAAAATCTCTTTCTCTGAGCAATCGCATTAGCATAAAATAATATAATTTCCCCCAAAAAATGTTGCATACAATATAACTCAGTATTTGTATTTAGTTTATACAGTCATTTTTGCCCATCTTTATCAAGGGTGTCAATAATTTCAGACCCCACTGTAGGTTGCCCTTAGAGTTGTGCAAAGTTGGTAGAATCTAATTCTAAATGCTTCCACCAAGTATTACCTCTTAGGTCATCTTTATCAAGGGTGTCAATCATTTTAGGACCCCACTCTATATGCCATTTAGCAGACGCTTTTATCCAAAGGCACTTCCAGTCATGCATGCATACATTTTACATATGGGTGGTCCCGGGAATCGAACCCACTATCCTGGCGTTGCAAGCACCATACTCTAACAACTGAGATACGGAGGACCAACTCTATATACAGTGAGGGAAAAAAGTATTTGATCCCCTGCTGATTTTGTACGTTTGCCCACTGACAAAGAAATGATCAGTCTATAATTTTAATGGTAGGCTTATTTGAACAGCGAGAGACAGAATAACAACAAAAAAATCCAGAAAAACGCATGTCAAAAATGTTATGAATTGATTTGCATTTTAATGAGGGAAATAAGTATTTGACCCCCTCTCAATCAGAAAGATTTCTGGCTCCCAGGTGTCTTTTATGCAGGTAACGAGCCCTCTGCAAAACATGAGTTAGTACTTGGTGGCAAAACCCTTGTTGGCAATCACAGAGGTCAGACGTTTCTTGTAGTTGGCCACCAGGTTTGCACACATCTCAGGAGGGATTCTGTCCCACTCCTCTTTGCAGATCTTCTCCAAGTCATTAAGGTTTCGAGGCTGACGTTTGGCAACTCGAACCTTCAGCTCCCTCCACAGATGTTCTATGGGATTAAGGTCTGGAGACTGGCTAGGCCACTCCAGGACCTTAATGTGCTTCTTCTTGAGCCACTCCTTTGTTGCCTTGGCCGTGTGTTTTGGGTCATTGTCATGGTGGAATACCCATCCACGACCCATTTTCAATGCCCTGGCTGAGGGAAGGAGATTCTCACCCAAGATTTGACGGTACATGGCCCCGTCCATCGTCCCTTTGATGCGGTGAAGTTGTCCTGTCCCCTGAGCAGAAAAACACCCCCAAAGCATAATGTTTCCACCTCCATGTTTGACGGTGGGGATGGTGTTCTTGGGGTCATAGGCAGCATTCCTCCTCTTCCAAACACGGCGAGTTGAGTTGATGCCAAAGAGCTCCATTTTGGTCTCATCTGACCACAACACTTTCACCCAGTTCTCCTCTGAATCATTCAGATGTTCATTGTCTGTCAGACGGGCATGTATATGTGCTTTCTTGAGCAGGGGGACCTTGCGGGCGCTGCAGGATTTCAGTCCTTCACAGCGTAGTGTGTTACCAATTGTTTTTTTGGTGACTATGGTCCCAGCTGCCTTGAGATCATTGACAAGATCCTCCCGTGTAGTTCTGGGCTGATTCCTCACCATTCTCATGATCATTGCAACTCCACGAGGTGAGATCTTGCATGGAGCCCCAGGCCGAGGGAGATTGACAGTTCTTTTGTGTTTCTTCCATTTGCGAATAATCTCACCAACTGTTGTCACCTTCTCACCAAGCTGCTTGGCGATGGTCTTGTAGCCCATTCCAGCCTTGTGTAGGTCTACAATCTTGTCCCTGACATCCTTGGAGAGCTCTTTGGTCTTGGCCATGGTGGAGAGTTTGGAATCTGATTTATTGATTGCTTCTGTGGACAGGTGTCTTTTATACAGGTAACAAACTGAGATTAGGAGCACTCCCTTTAAGAGTGTGCTCCTAATCTCAGCTCGTTACCTGCATAATAGACACCTGGGAGCCAGAAATCTTTCTGATTGAGAGGGGGTCAAATACTTATTTCCCTCATTAAAATGCAAATCAATTTATAACATTTTTGACATGCGTTTTCTGGATTTTTTTGTTGTTATTCTGTTTCTCACTGTTCAAATAAACCTACCATTAAAATTATAGACTGATCATTTCTTTGTCAGTGGGCAAACGTACAAAATCAGCAGGGGATCAAATACTTTTTTCCCTCACTGTAGTCTGACAACATTTTAAAACGATTCTCACCAATTGGCTATAATTACATAATTATCTACAGTAATGACCAGAAATCTGATTTCTGATACTGTGTGTGTGTGTTTGTGTGTGTCAAGGAGGTGGTCAAGCGGGCAGTGCTGACCAGCATATTCCCGGGCCCAGGCCTACCTGAGGAGCCAGAACAGGCAGATCAGCGGCTGAGGAGTTGAGGAGTACGGGGCTGCGTCTGGCCTTCACCTGCCTCACCACACAGAGACCTGGAGCGGCCACTGCACTGCTCAGGAACATGGTGAGACTATGGCTCTGTTCGGTTTGCTTTCACTAATCCATCCTGGAAGGATTCTGTATGGAGGAATGGTCTAAGATCCCTCTGAATGTGTTCTACAACTCATCAAACCTTTTAGAAAAAGGCTCAGTGCCGTTTTCCTCACAAGGTGAGGTATTGAAGGGTATTGAAAACTGGAGTGTCAATAATTTTGTCTTCTACCTTTTTGAGAGAAAAAAATATTACTTGTTGAACAAAATCTCTTTCTCTGAGCAATCGCATTAGCATAAAATAATATAATTTCCCCCAAAAAATGTTGCATACAATATAACTCAGTATTTGTATTTAGTTTATACAGTCATTTTTGCCCATCTTTATCAAGGGTGTCAATAATTTCAGACCCCACTGTAGGTTGCCCTTAGAGTTGTGCAAAGTTGGTAGAATCTAATTCTAAATGCTTCCACCAAGTACTACCTCTTAGGTCATCTTTATCAAGGGTGTCAATCATTTTAGGAACCCACTCTATATGCCATTTAGCAGACACTTTTATCCAAAGGCACTTCAAGTCATGCATGCATACATTTTACATATGGGTGGTCCCGGGAATCGAACCCACTATCCTGGCGTTGCAAGCACCATACTCTAACAACTGAGATACGGAGGACCAACTCTATATAGTCAGACAACATTTTACAACATGGAGATTGTTAAACAATATGACTCAGCATGTTCGTAGTTAGACAACGATGAACAATGGTAACAATATAAGAAAAACAAAACAAACAATATAGCTGCGAGCAGCAATGAACGGGGTTCACAGGATGACAGAAAGGACACAAGATCAGTTGGATAGCAAAGCAAGCACTCTATCATGTAGGAACGATCTTTCTTTATGTGCAATCATGTCTAAATACAACATCTGGAGTGAATCTGATGTACGGTTCATGAGGAGAAGATGATTGCAGATGATTTTTAGCATTAGCGTTACATATGCAAAGAATGAGTTGTTAATAGTTTCCTTGTTGTTGTTTTTTTATATAAATACCAAATTCAGTGTGCTTCATCTTAGGGATGTCAATGATAGCGATGACAAGTTCCAAGTTGATAGGCCACCGTGGAGTGGATTTCCAGTGGTTTGAATTGACACGTAAAATCAGATTTTTGATTTGTCAGTAACTCAGCTACCTCTTAACCAATCCCTTGGCTTTTCTCAAACTAAGTTAAGAGATGTACCATGGGCCTGTTACTTATGGTTCATGAGAATACGTTTTTCCAAGATGGAGGAGAATCTATCGTGATTGTCCTTATGACATTTATTCAGCATGAGGAAAGACACTTGCATCCAAAGTTTCAAGTCTTTCGGTCAAACAGGCCGGCGAATAGGAGGGTTTAAGTGAGATTGCTTATAAAGAAAAATTAGCTACAAAGAAAAATTGTCAACTGATAAATGGCTAAAACCTAAACTCAGAACTCATAACCAGATCAAAACACCTATGAGCCAGAACCCTATGTCATCTGACAAGAAATCAAAGAACCTTGTGTGCCCAGTTGAGAACTGGGATACTGCTTCTGGCAATTGAAGTAGGTAGGTTCAATGCCATCAATGAAGAAGAGCAGCTATAGACTTGTTGGTTGTTTAGCAACAAAACTGACTTGTGCGCAACTATGGGATTGGCTTATATTGTTGGCAACATGTCAACTATATTTAGTTTACAATGTTTGTTGAAAACATAAATACATTTGCACAATGAGCACTTGTTGTCTCTCAAATACATTGTTGCAGTTGTTGGTTAGCTAGCTAGTGAATTTTTGCTATATTAGCATAGACGTGACATCAGTCAAAACACCTCAAAACAAGACATGGTATCAAGAACAAGATAAACCTAGTACTAGCTCCGGGGTGCCAATAATTCTGTCCATGCATTTGTCTTAATTTTTTTAAATAAAACTGTTACACTTAAAGTAAGGTGTAGAGACCAAAAGTTTTTTCAATTTCATCTTGTTTTAGAAGAAATATGGAATTTTGGGGGATTTTTGTATTTTCTGTATGTAAGGGTGCCAATATATTTGGCCGCAACTATGTATGTATGTATGTATGTATGTATGTATGTATGTATGTACTTGTGTGCATATATAAGTATGATCATTTTCTTTGGTGAGTACAGTGTCTTATAAGCCCATGTGGGCTGGGCATCATGAAGATGCATGACACTATATAATATAATCAACCAATCAATCAATCATATAAGACTACTTGACTGTGGTTACACTGCATGATTATTTTACATAACCCACAGGACAGACAGAGCTTTGCTATTCAATGTGCCCAGAGTCTGCGAATACAGGGATGTTGTTAGCATCTCACACACCCATGACCAAGCAGGAATGTTAGTGTGTCCTCCATGGCTAAATGGGCATTTCTCATGCAACTGAATTAGACAGGAGTCTTCTTGTTTTTTATTGTTGTTTGTTTTGCTGTGTGAATAAACCAAAATTGTATAAACACAGTCAGAGCTTTGCGATAATGCTCCATACTGTGGTTAAAAGACTCCAACGCCAGCGTTGTCTGTTTTCAGGGTTTCAACGTAAAGAAGCAACTGCATAACATATGCCTCTACACAGACGACCGGGACCTAAGGGACTTTGTGGTAAGACCAGCATTTTGAGCAAATTCAATGATCGCGTCTAACATTGGCTTTCATTATTTGGATGATTTGACTGTTAAAAAACTAATTTCAGCCAGACAAGGGTGAAATTAAAAATATAGTCCTTATCACCATCTCTTTATGAACATAACTCATTACCTTTTGGCGGCCTCAAAGGCGTTATTACCAATCTTATTAAGATTTGGGGTTTTTCAATTACTGTCTGCAGGTGGAGGAGTTGTCAAAGCAGAGCTATTTGTCTGATGAAGAGGTGCAGAGGATGGAATTCATCAAACAGATGGAGGCTTTGTGTGCGGTGCCTGAGACGTGCTGCACAGACCCTGTGGGCAGACAACGGTATGAGATAAAACAGACTCTTTACTGCATTTGGTTTTACAGTTTTCTCTTCATGTACTTTTCTACTGTCAGGATTTCTGACACCGTATCCACCTGGGTCGTGTTCTTTAGTCATCAAAACAAAAGAAAACACAGAAACAGGGAGGGACAACCTGGACTTGTCCAATAAGAACTGCTAAAATGTTTTCTATTTCAGCAGTGTTTTACAATGTCTGTTGCGTGTCCTAATGAACACGGCCCTGGATGCCAGTAGTTGTTTTTCTCTGCTTACATGACATGACATTTTACCATGTTAGCAGTAAACAGTTAGTTTTTTTTGCTCAATCATTTATCTTTAGTCTTGCTCTATGGCAATGCACTTCCTGTTTCAATGTAGCAAACTGTACTGTGTACTGCTTTCTCTCAGGGTTCCTCAGATGGCCCAGACAGACCCAGGGTCTAAGAGCCTGCTGGAGGAGCTGGTAGACCAGAGAGGCTCCCAGTCAGAACAGACACTGTGGAGCTCGCTGCGTCTGGACTGGGTCAGACATTGGGACCACAACACCCAGAGAGCCATCCTGCTGTCACGCCTACAAGACTCAGGTAGGACTCTCTTAACCCTGCATTCACACCCTATATGAGTAATCGTAAGTACGAGATCCCGACTTGGAAAAAACATTCAGCTTTCAAGTGGTACAAGTTGGAAACTCGTATCATCTCTGGACCCCGACTTTCCCGTCATGCTGAACTCTGACTTCACCTACCACAGAAATTACTTTGATGACAGCATTTTCGGCACTTAAAGGGATAATCCACTCCAGAATGAAAGTCCTGTCAATTTGGTGATAGTCAATGTTCTATGAGTGAGTAAAACATTTATTTTCACCATGATTTAACTTCTAAGTGGTCTGCCTGTGAAATCAGGAAATCGTGTTGTGCCATGTCATCACGATCAGGTTCTCGTCACTGAAGAATTCAAAATTATCACATTTCATAACACTTTAAAAAATATATACCTGCACTCCCGATCACCATATCAGCCAATGCATGGTATGGGCATACAGTTGAAGTCGGAAGTTTACATACACCTTAGCCAAATACATTTAAACTCAGTTTTTCACAATTCCTGACATTTAATCCTAGTAAAAATTCCCTGTCTTAGGTCAGTTAGGATCAGCACATTATTTTAAGAATGTGAAATGTCAGAATAATTGTAGAGAAAATTATTTCATTCAGCTTTTATTTCTTTCATCACATTCCCAGTGGGTCAGAAGTTTACATACACTCAATTAGTATTTGGTAGCATTGCCTTTAAATTGTTTAACTTGGGTCAAACGTTTCGGGTAGCCTTCCACAAGCTTCCCACAATAAGTTGGGTGAATTTTGGCCCATTCCTCCTGACAGAGATGGTGTAACTGAGTCAGGTCTGTAGGCCTCCTTGCTTGCACACGCTTTTTCAGTTCTGCCCATAAATTTTCTATAGGATTGAGCTCAGGGCTTTGTGATGGCCACTCCAATACCTTGACTTTGTTGTCCTTAAGCCATTTTGCCACAACTTTGGAAGTATGCTTGGGGTCATTGTCCATTTGGAAGACCCATTTGCGACCAAGCTTTAACTTCCTGGCTGATGTCTTGAGATGTTGCTTCAATATATCCACATCATTTTCCTTCCTCATGATGTCATCTATTTTGTGAAGTATACCAGTCCCTCCTGCAGCAAAGCACCCCCACAGCATGATGCTGCCACCCCTGTGCTTCACGGTTGGGATGGTGTTCTTCGGCTTGCAAGCCATCCCCTTTTTCCTCCAAACATAACGATGGTCATTATGGCCAAACAGTTCTATTTTTGTTTCATCAGACCAGAGGACATTTCTCCAAAAAGTGCAATCTTTGTCCCCATGTGCAGTTGCAAACCGTAGTCTGGCTTTTTTATGGCGGTTTTGGAGCAGTGGCTTCTTCCTTGCTGAGCGGCCTTTCAGGTTATGTCGATATAGGACTCGTTTTACTGTGGATATAGATACTTTTGTACCTGTTTCCTCCAGCATCTTCACACGGTCCTTTGCTGTTGTTCTGGGATTGATTTGCACTTTTCGCACCAAAGTACGTTCATCTCTAGGAGACAGAACGCATCTCCTTCCTGAGCGGTATGACGGCTGTGTGGTCCCATGGTGTTTATACTTGCGTACTATTGTTTGTACAGATGAACGTGGTACCTTCAGGTGTTTGGAAATTGCTCCCAAGGATGAACCAGACTTGTGGAGGTCTACCATTTTTTTCTGAGGTCTTGGCTGATTTCTTTTGATTTTCCCATGATGTCAAGCAAAGAGGCACTGAGTTTGAAGGTAGGCCTTGAAATACATCCACAGGTACACCTCCAATTGACTCAAATGATGTCAATTAGCCTATCAGAAGCTTCTAAAGCCATGACATAATTTTCTGGAATTTTCCAAGCTGTTAAAAGGCACAGTCAACTTAGTGTATGTAAACTTCTGACCCACTGGAATTGTGATACAGTGAATTATAAGTGAAATAATCTGTCTGTAAACAATTGTTGGAAAAATTACTTGTGTCATGCACAAAGTAGATGTCCTATCCAACTTGCCAAAACTATAGTTTGTTAACAAGACATTTGTGGAGTGGTTGAAAAACAAGTTTTAATGACTCCAACCTAAGTGTATGTAAACTTCCGACATGAACTGTACTTGTCTAGAACACATCCATCCGTCTATATATCGTCATGACAAACTACATATTTTGCTAAGATGTACTCAAACTAAACAGACCGAATTATTCAACTCAATTTTTCCTTCAACTACCATCACGCAACACAAATTTCTCTTCTCCCCCCTTGCCCTGTGTGTGTTTGTGGCCGCACTGTGCCTGTGGGGCCGTTGCGTTGCCATAGCAACACCAGACTCCACTCTGTGAGGCACACGACCTGCAGTTTGAACATGGTGCGATTGTAACCTCCTAAATTGATAGTGCAGGTTGTTTCGGCGATTTTACAGCTTGCTACCTACTTCACATGCTGAAATTGACTTTGATATTATCAGGGACACCTCGTAGGCTTGGGGGGATTTGACCGAATATTACACATTTCCCTCACACACAGTAACGGTTGTACATTTTGGGCAATGTGTTCTGAGCATTCTGAGCCCAAACTGACATCTTTCCAAGAAGTAGATTAGGATAAAAACTACTTTGTTTGAGGTCTGTGTTAGTTTTAAAAGCGCGTGAAGCTGTTGTCTCTTCCTGCTGGTTGCTAGGCTACACGAAAAAGCATGCTCACAGGAGAGGGGCAACGCCCACGTACACAGACCCGAACCGTGACAATTTTCTTCAATGGGAAAATGCATCTCCCTTCCTCTAAAATATCTGGTATTATTGTGTGTAGCTACGTTTAGTAGCTAGCTATCTAGCTAGCCAGCCTGTCCAGAGAGAAAGCATTGCTTTGTGGGTTTTGTAGTCGACTTGAGCTGCAACAGATTTCCACAACGATTTTCACGTTGCTCCCAACCTTATGGAGAACAATAGTAATGGCGTCTTTTTGTAGGCACTAACGGAGGCTAGCACTAATGGAGGCTAACTCCACCATGGCTCGTTGGCCAAAGCCTACGGGGAAATTAATGGGTCTGTGATAAACACAGGCTTAGGAGATCTTATATGTTTTGTTCTATGAGCTAATCTTCATCAGCTAACATCACTTTTTTGAATTTTGAAGCATTTATGTAATCAACACAAGCAAATAAAGCACATAAAGGCTTCATAATTCATAAAGGTAATGTTGTCTGTTGTTATACAGACTAGACGACTCTCATCTAGGCCCCAATCAGCTAAAGCTTCTCTCATCCCTGTTGCGATGTTCTCACTTGTATGATCCTCTGGGGAAAATGCAGTTTGCAAACAGCGACTTTTCAGGTGGAAGTCCTCATTAATAAAGTGTATGGTCAGACTTATGTAGGGCTCCGTTGTCCGGCTGGACCACAAGTCCGTTGTTGCTGTATAATATTCCACTTGTGACAGCTCTGTTTCAACTTGTGCCTTGCATTTCTCGTACAACTCTGGGATGGCAACTTGAGAAAAATAGTTGCGTGATGGCATTACATACCGCTTGTCAAGTGACCGGATCATGTTTTTAAAACCCTCTTTGGTAACCGTGTTAATTGGTACCATGTCTTTGGCGACGTGAAATGTTATTGAATCTGTGATTTCTCTCTGCCGTTCTGAACCTTTCTCGTATGGTGTAATACTGGAAAAGGCATCCGAAATAATAGATTTTTGCTTTGGATGGAATTAAGATGCTTTGCACTCGTCATACGAAGATTTGTGGTGCCGCCTTAAATGATCGAACAAATAGGTTGTGTTGCCTCGTGTTGTGGGTTGTGGCAACAATTGCAAGGCACTCTCGACAAAGTACCTGTTTTTCGTTAACATCATCCTGTCTGTAGCCAAAATATTATCTTTTTTGCCTGTTCCTCACTCATCATTTCGTCACGCGCAAGCAGAGCCTGCATTTCAACCACGTGCAGCAACGAACTCCGTGTTTAAAATAATAATAATGTAATGACCTGACTAGATCATAAAAGAACAACTGTCCAGACAGAGGATTGAGTTTACGAATGGACGGTTTATTAAACCAACTTTACACAGGCTACTGTTTGGCCGTAGCCCACGCCAAATAAATGAAAGTTAACCCACAAGCCAATCGTGACCTTCTCTTGTGAAGCCCAGACGTAAAGAGAGAGAACAAAGGCTAAACCTGGTCTTAACTTCCAATGCTCCATCCCCCTGCCCAACCCCCCTCCACGCCACTCCGCCAACCGCCAGGATGCCCGGCATCAGAACATTCCAGGCCTTCCCGTGATTGGCAGATAGCAGGTTGATTGACATGTCGGACCCCGCGAACACTGGGTACTGGTAGGTACAACACAACCATCTACTAGCCTAACACATAACACACAGCTGTCTGTGCGGGTCGCTACAATAATAATAATAATAATAATAATAATAAACTGTGTATCCAATAACCCATAAATCGGAGTAAATTACGTTATATATTTTTTATTGTAGACTTATATATGTTTACCTTACTAAATCGCACGTTCTGCGATGTGACTATTGCGGATGCATACATCGCAATGTCGATGCTGAAACGATATATCGTGCAGCCCTAGCGCATACCCTATGTCTCTTCACAAGTTACAAACTATTTACTCAGAGAATTTAGCATGATTAGAGTAAATAGAATGTCATTATGGCCATAGTCAAAAAGTAGCCACTGCTCAATAGAACACTTTCACTGCTCCGCGGCAGAACGGCGCTAACTTCAAATGTCAACTGACAAGCTAGCTAGTGGCTGCGGGTTCCTGTGTGATAACATGGGGGTTTTCTAAATGAAATCTGCGGAATACAAAACAAAATTGAATCTATATATTTATAAATGTACAAAGCTAAGAGACTGAATTTCAGTACCTACCCTCCCCCGAAGACAATATGTTAAATTTTTCATGGTGTATTTCTGAGTCTTTCCCTTTAAATCGGCATAGAAACAGACCCTCTTAAAGTTGATTGAGCGGGGTTAGATGAATAGGCCACGGATCTGGTGATGAAAATGACAAGGGTATCAAGTTGATTTTGATTGGTCCAAACCACAGAAACACCTCCAAATGTTACCACCTCCCAACGCAGAAAAATGGAAGACATAATACCTACAGCTGGGTGGTTTAAACTACACTGAACAAAAATATAAACGCAACATGTAACAATTTCAAAGATCTTACTGAGTTACAGTTCATATAAGGAAATCAGTCATTTGAAATAAATTCATTAGGCCCTAATCTATGGATTTCATGTGACTGGGAATACAGATATGCATCTGTTGGTCACAGATGCCTTTAAAAAAAAAAAGTAGGGGCGTGGATCACCATTTGCCTCATGCAGCACGGCACATCTCCTTCGCATAGAGTTGATCAGGCTGTTGATTGTGACCTATGGAATGTTGTCCCACTCCTCTTCAATGGCTGTGCGAAGGTGCTGGATATTGGCGGAAACTGGAACAAGCTGTCTTACACGTCGATCCAGAGCATCCCAAACATGCTCAATGGGTGACATGTAAAGCTAAATAAATATAAACACTCAGTCTTATCTATTTTTCCATGTTTCATCTTGTTAGTTAGTTAGTCCCACTCAGACATTTCCATCCTGTTAGGCTAAATTATAGAGAAAATGAACCAATATGTTTGATAGAGAAATAAAATCGTGTTCAAGTGTTCACCATTATGCTAGCTCAATCTTGCTCACTCAAAATGCTATAGCTAGTTTAGGATCCACATTTCCACACTGTTAGGATTATGCGCTGAACAGCTTGGATTATGCACCTTAAGAAATGTACGTGCATGAGCTTGACCAATACGTAAAACATGTCCTTTTTCTGATAGAATGCAAAAAATGTATTTCAAAAGTTATGAGGTCCAAAAGGCACTGCATTGCAGTAATGACCCAACTAGTAAATGTATAACTTAAACATACATTTGATTAGCGAGCCGATTTTGAGTTGATAGCAAGCAAGCTAAAGTTATTAGCTGACTGGCTTTGGACTGAACATTGCTAGCTAGTTATGCTAGCTGACGCTAGTTGCTTCTGGCTAGCCACAAGATCATATGTCCAGTCATTCTCGTTGTCTCAGTGTGTGTCCCTCAATGTCATTCCGCTTTAATGTCTTCGGGTCTGCGTCTATAAAGGTCAAGTACAAAATGGAGGACATTAACAATCCCCCTAATTGTACCCATAGTGCAGAATAATTACTTCAAAAGGTGGACCGCTCCAGATCTGAATGGCAGGAGTGTGTGTAAGCTTTTATTCCAGCCCAGCTCATACCTGATTACAAATCTTACCCTATTGCCATGATTTGTTAAGTTAATTATTTAAGTCAGGTGTTAAAGCTGGGCTTGTACAAAACCCTTCACACGCTCCTGCTCTTCAAGACTTCCTGCAATGACTGAAACAGACCAAAGCAGGAGAATAGTGTTCACAGGTTGAAACAGCTTACCTAGTTAAGAGGTGATAAGACTCAGGCACACCCATTGGTTCTGGAATAGAGAAGGTTCAATGAAGGTTTGCAATTTGGCATCAATAACATGACAGTAATTCTAACTCAAAAACAAATGTGTGAATATCAATTAATGTAAAACCCACCATAGCAGGTAGGACTAAATGAGGTTACATAAACGTGCCTACAACTAATAAGCATCTGCTGTCCAGATCAATGTTTTCCCCCAGTAAAGTTAGCACACTGACTCGAGAAAGGATGCTAATCAGTCCATCTCTGAAACCTCTCAAAATGCCAGACCAAAATAATACAGCTAGCTGCTAGGGTAGCTACAAGTCAGGTAGTACTTGAAGTACTCACCTACAGACACAAACAAACATTATCAAGAACTAGTTAACTAGCAAGCTAGACTGTTGGTTAATAAAAGCCAAAGTAAGCTAATGTAGCCATCTAGCCAGCCGAATGTTGCTTACTAGCTAGCAATCATGCGCTAGCTCGCTAGGTAATGGGTATTGTGTCAAGTTGAAAACTTGCCCAAGACAGTTCACATAATCGTTAATAAAAAAAAAAATAGCCTATGTATTTATTAAAAAATATAGCTAACATTAGATAGTTAATCCTGAGATTCTTACCTCGAGTTGAAACACGGCGCTGCACGTTCCAGAATGACAACACGACACCTATTTGGTCGGAAGAAAAAAAACTTTGCCCACCAGAGCTGCTTGCAGAGACATTTACAAGCACAGACTTTTGTTACAACTATGCAACCCCGGGATTTAAAACTACAAATAATTTCAGCACAGGTTAGTGTCTAAATTAGTGCCAAAACTCTGAGCGTGCAGATTCAACAAATGTAATTTTGATTCACAGAAGAAGATTCTTCAGTCACTAGTTTAGTAAATGAGTTGCATTCATCCAAATAAAATAAAATAAAATTGTATATGTCACATACACGTGTTTAGCAGATGTTATTGCGGGTGTAGCGAAATGCTTGTGCTTCTAGCTCCGACAGTGCAGTAATATCTAACAATTTCACAACATATACCCAATACACACAAATCTAAGTAAAGAATGGAATTTAAGAATCTATGGACAAGCAATGACAGAGCGGTATGGACTAAGATACAGTAGAATATTATAGAATACAGTATATACATGTTTTGGAATTTAAGAATATATCTCCAAAGATTTTCTATGGGGTTGAGATCTGGAGACTGGCTAGGCCACTCCAGGACCTTGAAATGCTTCTTACGAAGCCACTCCTTCGTTGCCCGGGCGGTGT